TATCTAATTTTATTATGCTATATTTTTATACCTATTTAAGTGAATTTATTCTATTGGGATGGAATAGTAGAGTAATTCGAGGTTCAAGCCAATCCAAGGACAATCCCCATACTCAAAGGGGAAAGGTAGGGAGAATAAGAATTTTGGCTAATATTTAGCGAACATAAGCCTATACCAATAAATAGATGTGTTTCTAAAGATTGAGAGCCTATATTCATATGAGTAGGAAGTCACCGACGGCTTCACTTACATAAGTCGAAAGTCACTACCGACTTCAAATCATGAGTTTAGCAAGTTACCAATAACTTCGTCACATAAGTGAAAAGCCATTGACAACTTTATTTTACTCAAGCAAGGAGCTTATAACTAGTTTGAAAGCCATTGGTAACTTCGCACATAGAAGGAAAGCTAATAGTGGCTTATTTTCTAACAAGCAAAAAATATGTAAAATGACTTTGAAAGCAACGATGGCTTTATCACATAAGTGAGAAGCCATAAATAACTTTATTTTAGTGATTGAAAATCAAATAAAAATAGTTTGAGAGCCACTAACGACTTCATCCATACGAGTGAGAAGATACCGATGACATTTTTTTCGACAAATAAAGAACATGTAAAATGAATTTAAAATCACTAGTGGCTTCATCACACAAGTGGAAAGCCACTCGAGACTTTATTTCAATGATCATAAATCAAATAAAAATGATTTGGGAGCCACTAGCGGATTCGTCCCTATAGGAGAAAAGCTATTGGTGGCCTCTTTTTTGACGAGTAGAAAACATGTAAAATAACATCAAAACTATTAGTATATTTGTCACATAAGTAGAAAGCCACCAAAAAATTTATTTCAATGATCAAAAATAAGATAAAAATTGTTTAGGAGCCACTTAGTGGCTTTATTTACATAGGTGGAAAGACATTGGTGGCTTTTTATCTAACGAGTAGAAAACATGTAAAATGACTTCGAAATCACCGATAGGTTTATCACATAAGTGGGAAGCCACCAATAAATATATTTTAGTGATTAAAAATCAAATAAAAATGGTTTGGGAGCCACTAGTGGCTTCGTCCACAAAGGTGGAAAGGCACCGATGACCTCTTTTCTAATGAGCATAAAACATATAAAATGACTTCAAAACCACCAATAGCTTTATCACATAAGTGAAAAGGCACCAACGACTTCATTTTAATGATCGGAAATCAAATAAAAGTGATTTGAGAGTCACCGACGGCTTCATCCATAAAGGTGAAAAGCCACTAGTGACATCCTTTCTAACAAGTAGAAAACATGTAAAATGATTGAAATCACCGATAGCTTTGTCACATAAGTGGAAAGCTTCCAGTAGCTTCACTTCAAATAAATGAAAAGTGAGGCAATCATCTCAAATATAATCGGACAACATATTTAATAATTTAACCATCCATAAGATGACATTTTTATCATTTCCATTTATCACTTTTAAGTAGATCTAGATAGTTTCAAAGATTATCTAAATGTTATAAAAGTGTTAATAGTTTTTTTTTTTTGGATTAGTTTACTTCTTTCAATCTCGATAATGGTTGTTATGTCAATCAACCGAGAAGGAAAAAGCAATAGTTCTTGAGCTCTTTTTTAGTTTTATTCCAAATATTGTGAGAATGTTACAAGTCTCACTTTTGAGTCATTTTCACTTCCTTCAATCTCAATAAAGACCGATTATTTCGGTTATCCAAGAAGGAGGAAACAATTCTTTGTAAGCTTTCTTTTGGTTTCGTTCTATTCGATCCAATATTTGATAACATGAATTAGTTCTATTCCATCTAATACAATATTCCTATTCCTCCACCAATAAAAAAATATGAAATATGCATCTACAACTTCGAGTTGTTCCTGCAAAACAATAAATAAAATCCATACATCTCATTTTTATTTTGTTCTATCATCTAGTGTTTACTCGTTAAACATAAAACATATTGTATTTTTTTGTTTTGTTTTATTATGAGTGGTGGTTAAAAATGACAATAACTTTTAACCTAAAATGGTGGCTAGAATGGCATATCTCTTTTCCCAAAATAGAGGAAAAAGATGATGGTTTTATGACTATAACTTTCAACCTAAATATATGGTAAAGGTGGTGGCTCTGTAGCTATAACTTTTGGCTTAAGGAGGTGGTGAAGGTTACATTTTTTGGCAATAACTTTTATCCTAAAAAAGGAGGAAAAACTTATGGTTTTAGAAGTAAATTTGAGCTTACAAATGAGAAAAGATGGTGCCTTGGTGGCTACAGCTTTCAGCCTAATGTGGAGGAGAAGATGGTGGTCTTCTTTGGCAATAAGTTTTAGCCAAAAATGAAGGATAAGATGGTGGTTTTGTCACTATAAGTTTTGACCCAAAAATGGAGGAAAATGTGGTGGTTTTGGTTGCAACCTTTGGCCTATAAAGGATGAGGAGATGGTGGTTTGGCTACAACTTTTGACCTTAAACGGGGAGAAGATGGTGGTTTTGTGGCTACAATTTTCAGCCCAAAAAAAATAAGGAAAAGTGGTGGGTTTGTGGTGGAAGAGGGCTAGTTTTGGTTGATAATTTTAGGCTAGAATGAGAGGAGCTTTTGTGAGTGATGGTTGTTGGTTTTGGGTAGTGGTGATCTGCTGGTTTTGGGTAAGAAGATGAGATGGTGGTTTGGCTAAGTGAGGGGAAGAGTGGTGGCTAGAATTTTTAGGAGGATTCAGCCAAAGAGAGGGAAAGTGATGGTGGTTCAGCCAAGAGGGAAAATGGAAGAGGAAGCTTGTGTGGGGAAACTAAGTTTTGGCTACAATAAAGGAGGAATAATGATTGCCATGTTTTAGGGAAGAAGATGAATAGTAGCTTCGGTGGATGATGTAGTTTGGATGGTGGAGTGGTGATGTTTAGGAGGTTGTGGAGAGTATTTTGGGTGGTTGAGAAGGCTCAAAAATTCAGCTACGGGAGGAAATGGTGGCTGGAAAATTTTGGAAAAGATGATGAATAGTATCAGCCTCCTAAAATGAGAGAGAAGATGGGAATTTATTGAGAAAAAATTAAGGTTTTTAAGAAACAATAATTTTGATCTTTGATTCCTTGTAATTTATCAATTTAAGTGCAATTTTGATTGTTTGAACTTTAATAACACCCCTAAATTGCAATTAATCGGGACCTCTTCTTTTAATTTTTTTCCAATCGCACCCTTTCTTTCTTTTAATTAAGGATTTAGGGTTTTAGACTTTTCAACTGCACCATGAATTTGGGTTTCTTTTGATTTTCAAACTTTCTATTTTTTTAATTAGACCCCCATAACTAATTTTAGTCACTTTTTTTCATTGACTTTTTTTTTTTTTTTGTATTTGCTTGTATTTTGTTTTTGTTTGTATTTTTGCCAAGAATAAAAAGAAATAATAGGGATAAAAATTTGGGCACTAACAAGTAAAACCTTTTTCCATTTCTTTTTAAGTTGAAACTTTGAATGTTGATCAATTTCCAGAGCTGCCGTGAAACCAGAAGGTCAAAAATATGTTTGACCACGGAAACTCTAGATAGCAATAGCAAGGGTCATTTGTGATTTTTTTAGAACTTCTCATCTTTACATAAACCATTACAATCATACAATTTTTGTGCTGTCATTAGATTTAGACAATGAGTTGTTCAAGGATATTATGAGATGTTGTTTGTTTGAAAATTTAGTTGGCAGTAAACCATTTTAGTATTTAACAAGTCTCTGAAAAAGTATCATATTGATAAAAGAATATGGATTGGTACAATCTTGGCCAAAACAACTGGTTATTTCTTGGAAGGAAGAATACCTTTTAGATTCTAAAAGAAAGCAACTCTTATTTGATCATCAAAGCTAAGAAATTTGTAAATTTGAAATTCTAATAGAATAATAGGAGAACCAATGTTTTTGTGTGAAATGATCTGCTAAATAAATGAAGTGATGGGAGACCATAAATGAAGTGATAAAAGACCGACTAAGAAGAAGTTATAGGAAAGGTAAAAGGTTAAAAGCCAATTACTGTTTTTAATTTTGGAGTTTCATTGTCTTGGAAAACGTAAAATTTACTTTCTAATACTTATATGTTTTCTCAATTTCATCTAAAATACTTCATTTGTTTCGGTTAGACTACATATTTTCAACTCTCAAATCTTACAAATTTGATTTTTTTTTTCAATGATAATCAAATTTTATTTCTAATTTTAGTTTACCACTTTAATTTCCTCCAATATCTTATAGAATGCATATATATGTTGATCCGAACAAAATGTTATAAAATGATATATTTCACATATTAGATCAAAGAGTATTCAGAGTCATATTTTAATCAGGTAGTTAATCGCATCATGCACATGTTCAACCTACCAATCATAATCTGTTATGCTCAATAATAATGCTTGTACACTTTAAAATCACAAAGGCATAAAATTTACCACCTCAATCCATTGATAACAACACTGAATTAACTTCACGTCCTAAGAAATTTTACAATTTCGTTTATCTAGAAAGAAAACTATCTGTAAATTTATTAAGTTTGGTTCAAGATTTTATAACTAAAATTATTTTTTTGATTCTTTGTCAAATTTTAAAATGATAAAATAATTTGAGAAAGTTCTTTAAAAATAAAAAATAAAAAAAATGTAATTTGGTATTCAAACATATTATCAATTAATGAAAAAATTGACGAAGCTTGATTGATAGTTTTGAAAAAATTAAAGTGCACAATCTAAAAAAAAAAATTAAAATTCATATACCCTATCGAAAAAAAAAGGACAAAATTATAATTTAATATTTTGAGAATAACAAACATATCATCGAGTTAATAGAAAAATTAACGGAATTACTTGAAATGATAATTTTGAAAAAATTAATATACTCAAACGAAAAAAAATAAAATTTATATATTTGTTTGAGAAAAAGTTAGAAAGTTGATAAACTTGTATTGCTATTACAACTAAGAAAAATAGTCTCCAAAATTTTAAGCAATCAAAAACCGACTAAAACTACATTGCTAATTCAATAAGGAAATCCATTTGTTTGCTTCTTGAAATCACCAACGAAAGTGGTGACATTTGACATCATTATTAAACCGGCCTCCTCTCCCATGGTTGTCTCATGCAGTCTCTTTACCCTGTTGCTGATCTTTATATCTTCCGTCACCCTCCTCAAGCCTTGCTCCATTTCTTTTTGCCCAAATCCATTGATCCTCACTCCAATTTTCCATTTCTTGATAATGTAGGCACAATTAACAAACTGGTCTCCAGCAACTGGATAGCATATAAGACATTTTTGGCATTGTATTGCTTCCATTGTTGAATTCCATCCACAATGTGTGAGATAACACATTACAGCCTTGTGTTGCAATACCTTTAATTGTGGTGCCCATGACACCACTTTACCTTGCTTTGAAACTCTTTCTATATATCCTGAAGGTAACCCATCTTGCCATGTAGGCCCTAGCACCCAAATAAAAGGTTGCTCCATAGCTTCAAGCGTCAATGCAAGTTTTTTCACTTTCCCCTCTCCAATTGGGCTAACCCAACTTCCAAATGAAATGTAGAGAACCGAGTTAGGCTTTTGCTTGTCTAGCCATTGCAGGCAACTCATATCTTCTTGCCATAAGCTAGGGTTTCTAACTAGTGCATGCTTAATCAAAGCTCCAACATGGATAGTAAGTGGTTGATTCATAGACTTCTCTGGCCATGCACCATTTTGTGTTTTGTCAGGATCAACGCATTCCTCTGGAAAGGAATTCACAAGTAGCCATGGAAGATTTCTTGATCGATCTAAGGTTCTTGTCCAGAACTTGAACCTTGCTTTCCTTGAAGTTGGAGTCCCAATTAGCCATGGAAGATCTTCACTAGATAGCAAAGGTTGATTAGGTAGAAAGCATAAAGGACCTAGATTTTGAGGACTTCCTGCCAAAATGCCAACAAGCTCTTTAATAATTTATACCATGCATGTGCGACCTTATACTAAAACAATATGCCAATTCATTTTAAAACTATTGTATTTGTTAGATATATATATATATATATATATACTTTCTAGGTATTCCTATCTCATGACTAATTTTGTTCAAAACGAGATCTATAAAATTTAATTTTTTTAAAAAAAAATACGATTTTATTATTTGAACCTTATATATTGATAAAAATAATAATAATAATAATTGTGGACTAGCTCATTTACTATTAAACCAACAATTTGTTAGTTAAGATTTATTTATTTTTTATTTTATTTTTTTACTATAATATCAGAGTTTTGTTAACTAAATAATTAAAAATTTAAATCTAAGTAACCTTAATTTCTCTTCTGATTAATAAATAAAGCATAAATTAGGGTTGACTTGTACAAATGGTAAGTTTTGAATTTCAAGTTTAAGAGATTTTCCTGTGAAAATTTGTATTAAAAAATAATATAAGCATTATATCACGGAACGTAAGTTTTGGGATTAAGAAGTTTATTTACAATATCAGGAAAAGTAAAGATGAAATGAGATTAGAAGAATATATGCGTTGACATTTGTTGGGATCGTCTACTATCTTCATCTAACATGATATTTTGCCGTTACCAGAGGCCAATTACAAGTCTATGTGTTTTGTAATAAAAGATCCAATAAATGTTTTGGGCTACACAATGAGTCTTCCAAAATCTATCGAACTTTTATTTTTTTCAAAAATTTTCAAACTCTGAACTTAAATTAAAGATCTTATATATGTAAAAATTTCTAAATCTTTAATATGATATGCACACTTTTAAGAACATAAACTTACGTATATTTGGTCATTTGCAATAGAGGTCTTCTTTAATTCTCTATTGAATGATATTTCCCATCAATAAAAGAATTCAAAATGATAGCTTCAGGGACAAATCCAAAGGGGTGCCAGAGGTGGCCATGACACCCAAAGGTTAGAAAAGTTTGTCCCCTTCCTTTTAGTAATATATATATATATAGTTCGCAAAAAAAGAAAAAAGATAAAACATATTTGGACTTTTAATCCATTTTTCTTAAAGAAATCTAATTTAATTATCACTGCAAAGATGTTTTTTTTTTTTTCAAACTTCAAAGGTAGAAAAGTGGCTCTCCCCAAGTCAAAAAATCAAATAACAATTCGGTCCTCTTCTCTCTCTTCTTTTTAATAGTTTATTTGTAAATGGATTATTTTTTGTCTATGAAGAGATATGCCTCCACATGTTTCAATATTTTCTCCACCGTCTTTTCGAACAAAAAGATTGTAACCCCCCAAGTCAGTGATCCTTCCCCGATTTTGAAATTCACTATTTTATGGTCCACTTTTTACAATCCAATGTTTTAAAATTGTTGTCCTTACTATGGACATTAATTACTTCTAAGGAATTTTGTTCCCGTGAACGGTGAACTCTTAGATTTCGTTTTCTTTTATCTAATTGTGAATAAAAATTTTAAGAAAAAAAATAAAAGAGAAATGTTTCCTTACAATCATGCAAATCAAATATAGTATTAGTTTTAAAAAAATAATACTATTATCAAACTATAAAGTCATCATTTTTATAAAAAAAAAAACTATTTTTTTCCGGCAAATTATAATTTATTTTAAAATAATTCTAATCGGTTGACCCGACAAATTTGCTTACTTCATGATCTATTTGGCATATGTGATGTTTCTAATTAATTTATTCTAAGCAATAAAATAAAAAAACCTTAAATCATGCCATTGTCAAATTCCACAGCATCCGTGTAGTTGGCTGGTGGATATACCCATTATACATATGTTGTTCATTCAATTTCGAATTCTTCAATTCATTTATCTGAAAATTAATTTGATTGTCAAATGAATATGTTCTTATTATCTTATTACACAAAGATGACAAAAATTGTTAAAAAAAAATTGTGGATAGCCTGTTTAAAACTTGATTAAAAATATTTTCAACTTGATACTTAAAAATTGACCTAAAATTACTATTATAAGAAGGAAAAAAAGGGCAGAAGAAGAAGAAGAAAGAAAACTCAGATAAATAACTCACCAGTATCAGAAATAAGGCCGGTTCTAACCATGTCAGGGATGGCTGCAATCAGCTGGTATGTGGCAAGCATGGCAGGCCAAAATCCAGCCACAGGAACCCCACATCGATGGCCAACTTCAATAGCCCACGATGCTAATAAATCAACAATCATGCACGCCACCACTTCACCATCTTCATTGAATTTCTGAACTAGACCCTCCAAGTGAATTGGCATGTTGATTTCCATAGCCTTCTCAATAGCAAAGAAGTCACGAGGCTTATCCATTTCCAACCCATCTGGTATTGAAATGCATGAAATATTGGACTTAGGATCGATGTTTGATATGATCCTTTGGTGGATGAATTCTGGGGTGGCCATCACTGGCTCGAAACCATGGATAAGAAAGGCTGAGGCCAGCTTGAGCATGGGAGTGACATGACCTTGCGCTGGATATGGAACTAGAATTATTTTAGGTGTTTTTATGCACTTCATATTTCCCATACCTTGTAACTCTTTTGTGCTCAAAACTAGTTATTTTCTCTTGTTTTTTTGTGCATTGAAGCTTCAATAATGCTAAGCTCTCAAATATATAGAGGAAGATGGAAAAGATAGTCAACTGAGCATGTGCCTTAACATGCGTATTTATTATATTATACTATGGGCTAACTCCGTGACCATAACTTTTCCGACAAACTTAACTAGTTAAGAAGGAATAGAAACTTATCAAAAGAAATAAGTCGCGAGGAAATTGAGGGATGACAAAACTAGTAAAAACTATTGAAAAATTATAAATCTCTGTAAACCTATTGCATGATAAAATCATTACCTTCTAGTTAGGTTTTGTACCACTAATGATGTCTCGAATAGAAAAGCAAACTTGAAAGGGATGTGTTTTCTTTCCGGCCGTAGTGTTCATACTTCAAACTAGGTTGTAAGGATTAACATTCTTTATTTCTTCAATTTCCATTTACCTAACTAATCAAATATATATATATATATATATATATAAATAAAAGACACATGGTCATGACTCATGAGACATTTAGTTCGTTTGGGTCATCAAAAGTAATGTGTACCTATACAAGTGTCCACTAAAGAGGAAATGCAAGTTGAGCTTGTCGGCACCCACAATGTATTTATGATCACGGCATGGGTGGTGAACTACACGTGACAATATATATGTCATGCTGCACTCTATAAATTATAAATTAATCACTCCATTTTAAAAAATAAATTAATTGATCCTTTTTTCAAAAAATTAACTTTTTAGTCACTTGAATGGTGTAGTACATTTAATTTAATATTATTTTATTTCAAAAAAAGGTTAAAAATACCAAACTTTTTTTGACCTTTAGTTTATTTAAAATCAATTTTTGAAATTTTAATATGTGTTTAACCCTATCTAAAATTTTATATATATAATGACAATTGATCGATTTTTTATTTTTTGTCATTTATATCAAAAAATAATAATTACATAAATAATTTTGTGATAAAAATATTTGAGTGAGATTTATCTATAACTCTCTGAAACATTTAAAGTCAAAAGTTATTTCTCCAACTGACGTCGAACACTTCTTTTTTGTTTTTTTCTTTGCTTTATGAGTGTTTTCTTCTTGAAACTTCATCAACTCTTGGATTATTCTTTTCTCTTCATTCCTCCTATTTTGAATGCCAACAAGAACGAACTATTTAGACTTATTTCAATCAACTTTATGAATTAAACTACTCCCCACTCATTTCTTGAGCTTTAGGGATTGAGTTGTTAGAATCTATCTTGGAAATTACCAATTTTATGCCTTTGCTTAGTTGCAAGAGAAGTCTTTTCATTCAACTTTTGAAATTATTTCAATTGTAAAACATTTGACCAAGAATTCTTATTAGAAAAGAAAAAAGAAGAAGAAGAAGAAGCTATTTTGCTCTAAGAACATAGAAATGCTGGCAAAATAATTAAATGTTCCTGTGGAATGGACATAAATGATAAGTGAGGTGCACAATCTTCCGGGTTAAAAAATTGGGAAAGAGATAGGATTCATGAGATCTTTTCTTTTATTTGATTTAATATTTAAATTTAAATCAGATTGCTTCTACAGATATCACCTATAGTTGTTGTTACTTGTTCAGCTAGAAATGAATGGCAGAAGAAAAAAAAATTATCCTTTAATCTCCATTAATCATAAATGGTAAGTTTCTTTTTTAAGTGTTCAATAAATTAAATAAATATTTTTTTTATTAATGAACGTTAATGGAAGATTAAACTAGTCTCTTTTTTATCTATTCAATAAAATAAATCTTTTTTTTCTGAAATTTCTCTCATTTTGTAATAATTTCTTTTAATTTAATGGTGAGGTAAAAATATATATAACTAAACCTACCGTTTGGCTAGTCAGACAATTTCGAATTTACTGTTCATATCATGGGACGTTCAAGAGTCATGACCTCTCGTATTAATAAAGCAAAATTAGTTGATTACCCTATCTCTATTCCATCAATCGCTTAATAATTTATTTTATATAATTTTATTTTATCCTGTTTCATCTATTCTTATGAAAAGTACGAACGATTCATGAATTTTCTATCATAAAATTTATTGGTCTAAAGAAATTATTATAAAACTTTTGATAATTTGATTTTTAAAAAGAAATTTTATCATTAAGCTTCTATTTTATTTTATAAAATTTTGTCTTATTCAATCTCATTTACTTATCAAACATGTGCATGACGATGATATTAAAGTTGTTAGAGAGTAATATAAAATCATCTTAAAACCTTATTTAACAGCTTTAAATTTTTGATTTGAGATGATTCTTTCATATAGTATTAGTTTGAATGTCATCATCTTTTTTTTTTTTTAATTAAGCACAAAATAATAGCGGTCATGTGCAAGTTTCAAACCCAAAAGATTTTTATTTGAGAGAGTGTTGCCACCCGATATTTTAGGAGACTTCGAATTTATTTAATAAAAAATTGTTTGTGGAGATTTACTAGAGATATGATTTAATCTATATCTTGGAGTTGTCACTAAATATTAAAAAAAAAACTAGGAAACTTAAAATTTACACTAGTTTACGGATTCTAAGTAACAAGTTAGTTATGCTTTTAGGAATATATCAATCACCTAAAGACACATTTTCTTAGGCCACGTACCATGTCTAGTTTAATCCTAACCTTTATCTTCTTTTTTTTCTTTTTTACTTTTGCCAAATTATTTCTCAAGTTAAAATTTTTTTTTTTTTTTTGTGGCATCATATTGAATTGATCGTCGAACTTCATTGTCGGGAGTCTCGTCAATTATACATCGGATCCGATTTAAGTTTCAACATAATCGGTATGTTGAAAAACGACCTAATTACTAAAATATCATTGATTTGGATTAACATCAATACCTATTAGGTAGAAGACTTATTAATTTTCACCTAACATTTATCTATAAATTTTTTTTTTTGTTCTTTTTCTTTTCTTTTCTTTTCATGTCTTTTTTCCCTATCATTTTTTTATCCTTTTTTATTTTTATTTTCACTTTTTATATATTTTTCAAGGTCGATGGAAAATCATCATTAATCTCTAAAAATTAGAAGACTCGACGATTCGTCTATTTATTAGTTACTTAATTTAAATATTGATTATTTAAGAAAATATTCAACATTAAATAAACCTAAAATTAGATTACTAAAAAATTAAAAGATTGAAGCCCAAAGCATTCTTATGAGTTTAAAATTATCCCCCATAATTCCAAATTTAAGTAATATTAAATAATAGACTAAACTAAAATTTAAATACTAAGAGAAAATTAATTACTTGGATGTGAAATTAAATAAACTCAAATAAATAGGTAAAAGGGACTTCAAAATTCTAAAAAAAAAAAACAAATTAACAATAAACTAGCAACGAAAACATGAAGCATGCATAGAAATTTCAAGTCTAATTTTCCTAATAAAATGGCTAAGAATAAACAAAATTAGGAAAAATGAAAGTTATTGAGGTTAGTGGGTTGAAGCATGCTTGCTTCCTTTCGTTTCTTAAGCTTGGATCGGGCTAAACTTAACACCCACTCTTCCTTATGAGTTGGGCTAAGCCCGACTCACTCCTTCCCCACGTAGGCTAGGCTAGACCTACCCATCTTTCTTTTGTTCTTAATCCACACTAAAACATCACGGTGCCTCAATTTCATTTCCTTCCTATTCAAACATGAACCTAAAGCTCTTTCTTCTTTGCTCGACTATTGCTTCATATTCTTCTTTTGTTCCTAAACCATATGAAATCCATAGGCCCTTTCTTCCTAAACTACTTTAAGCTATTAAAACCCTTTCAACCCTTATCTTCTATTTGTAGATCATGCTTAGGTAGTTAAAAGAAAAAAAAAAGGTCCAATGGTTCATTGTCATAGTTTAATCTTGAGCAAATTTATAGTGGAGTATGGGTTATTAGAGCCACAATCACGAAAGAGATAGAGCATTTTAACTAGGTATTCTATTAGTGGAGTTTAGCTTGGGATGGATGATTTATAATGGATGATTATCCTGGTTTCAACCAATAGAGATTTCCTCATTCAAGAGCCCAAAATTGATCTTTGTAGACCTAGCAATCATTGTTACAAAACCTAGGCACCTTAGGGTTTGATTAGTGAAACCCGGAAAAAGAGATAAACAAAACCTCTTTTATTCAAAATCCTAGCAAAAACCCTTACTTTCCACCCTTTTCTTTTTCTTTTTTGGAATTTTAGACTTCAATAGTTGAGTCTTCAATTGCTAAAGTTATCCTAAAAACTAGTAAGTTCTTCCTTTGTAAATTTGAATTTCCTCTTTAAAAATGCAGAAATTTTCTCCGTAAAAACCTAAAAATTTGTTCTTAAACCTAGAACAAAAAAATTCCCAACTTCCTCTATTAATATCTCAAAAAAAAAATGCTTTAAAAAATATCCCCTCTTCCTCCAAATTCTCCCTCCTATTTATACCTAAAATCCCTCTTTGCATCTACCCTTGGATTAAATTTATTTAAATCCTAGCCTTCCTCACAAAAAATAGTAACCTCGGGCTCCTGTAAGTTTTGGCTCTATTCAAAACACAATGCAACTATGATTGTCGAGTGTTGTGTTTGTGTGTCCAAGTGTTATAGGTGTAAAGGTGGGTTTTGGCTAGTACAACTGCCAACAAAGATCGCTTTTATCCTTTTATACTCGTTGTCTTCATTAATAAAGATGAACGAGTGCTAGAGGATGATGAAGTGTAGGAGCAAACATGTCAAAAGGTTGCTCGAAAGGCTTGAGCAATAAGTAGTTCATATTGGTTTTGAATTGGTCATGTTGTTTGCTTCCTTTATCAATTTTGCTCTCTATACATTCTATTTTTTCCATGATTGTATTCTTTAGGCATATTATTCTAGTCCTTGGTTCCATTAATTTTTTTAATTAGGTCCTTATGTCTTTTAATTTCAATTCAACGATTTTTAATTGTTTCAATTATACCTCTAATTGCTTCCAATTGTATTCTATT